TAGCATTTAGCTTAGCGGCCACAGATGGTATTTCCTGGACGACAGACGACAGACAGTGATGTTAAAACATGCCAGTTGAGAAGTTTAGCTAAGCAGCATTATCTTCACTGTATCCCGAACACCAACAGCTTTTGTTAGCACGTCACAGCTCTGCCCTTCAACTTTCAGTTGGTACCGGTTGGGAGTCTGATGGCAAACAACAGCAACTGTCTTCCCAGGCTGAGCTCTTTCTGTGGACGACATCCACACTATGCAGAGCAGACAGCAGCTCAGTCCCTTCCACCCGTGCCTGACCATCCAACGGCCACGAGGCAGAGGAGTATCGTGGGCCCCACTTTACCCACAGCAGAATGAGCCTCTCGCTGGTCATGGGCTTTGGCTGCACTGGTCTCCTGGGCCTCTGGGAGCCACGCGGGTGTCGGAGCAGGGGTGCGGCACTGTCCGGGGTCTTCTAGAAAAGTCACGTCCAGCACAGCCTGATTAAGGGTATGCATCCGTGCTCTAGACCAGAGCTTGGCAAACTACGGTGTCAGCGGCCAAATCCAGCCGGCTGCCTATTTGTGTAAGTAAAGTTTTGTCAGAACAGACACACAGATTTGTTTACAGACTGCCTGTGGCTGTTTCTGCGTTGCCAGGGCAGAGGAGAATGGCTGTGATACGCCGCATGACCCTGTAACGCCTAAAATGGTCACCACCCAGCCTTTTGCAGAAAGCTGACGGACCCCTGCGCTAGATAAGAGGGTGGCTCATCAGAGCACAGCCTGGACTAGGCCGTATGAGAGGAGCAGGATTTCACAGGCGTCTGTGAGCACTTTTGAGACTCGGTGACCAACTAGGGTCCCTGGCTCGGGCAGCGCCGTAAGTGATGCAGGTCACGGACAGAAGAGCATACATCTGGGAAGAGGAGGACAGACGCGGATTTGGCCAAAGACTCCTGGAAGTGCAAGAGTCGACCAAAACTCCGGTTTAGAGGTCCAAAGAAAGGAGGAAACGTGGGCCTGGAGCTCCCTCCTCTGTCCTCTTGCCACACTCACTACCGTCAGCTTCCAGAACCACCACCTCCTGTGGCAACTAGCTGCCACACTTTCATTCTCCGAGGGCAGGAACCGGAGCGTACGGGTTTGGGGGCTGCGCTCCCCTCCCCCCAAGGGCTCCAAAGGGACCCTTGCACAGGGCGGGCAGGCATCTGCTGTGGGCAGACTGGGAAGTCTCAGAGTCCAAGTTCTCACAGGGAAGGAGGCAACAAGGGACAGGGTGGGGCGGGGGACGGCTGTGGCCCCTGCCCGGGCTGAGGTCCCGAGCTAACCCGGGATGCAAACCATCCAGGCACAGAAGATGAAGCGTCAATTCCCCGATTAGGGCAGCGTGGAGCCTGCAGGTGCCAAGCGAGGGGTGAGGACTGCTGCGGAGACCACACCAGGGTGAAGGCTGGCTGCACGGAGACCAAGTGGTTTTCTCAGTGATCCCCCAGGAAGAGAGTGGGCATCTTCTCAGCTCTTGTTCCCTGTCCCTTGAACACGGGACACACTGGAGCCAAGCCAGAGAAAGGCGACCGGTGGGCAGCCGACGCTTTTCAAGGCTTCCGTGACTCTCGGGCCGCCAGGGCTGGGAACCCCTGGTTTACATACACGAGGAAGCCAGGAAGCAGTGGAGGCAAGCAGTTCTGAATTCCTTAAACAACAGGCTGACAACATGGCACTTCCAGAAGGAAGAAAGGGCCGGGCATCAGAGCACCAGGGGCCTCCAGCTGCCGAGCACGGCTTCAAATGCTCAGCGTGGCCTCAGATGACACGGCCTTGTGAGAGGCAGCTCTGGAATAACTGCAATTTCTACTTTTTCCCCATCCAATCTGGTTGAAGAACTGGTTTTGAAGAGACCGGCTGTTGCTTAACATTTCCAAGTCAGAGGACATAACCTCAAGTGACACTGGCGGGGTTCCCGGGAAGCACTCTCTGTCGGCAATAGATGCCCCGAGCTCGGAGGGACAATCTTCAACCTGTCCCCTAGCACCTTCCCTCCCTCCCCCGACCTCGGTAGTCTCCAAAACTACACTTGCCAGTGTGGACAACCTGAAAAAACTCAGAAGTCCTAAAACACTGTAACATTCGGTGGCTCTCATGATATCAGATCTCAGGGTCTAAGAACAGGCAGAACTTTCTCCTTCCAAATGGTCAAGAACAGGGAATCCCACACTGACCCCATCGGTGCAGCTGCTGAGAGATGAACAGAGCAACTGTCAGTGAAGTGTCTCTTCCTTCCTCAGAGACGTCAGGAGGAGGCTGGGCTGCGAAACCATCCAGCTTAGCAAGTTGGCAAGGGGAGAGAGAGGTGAGCTTTGGAAAAGCCAGGTGTTGGGTCCACAGTGATTTCAGATCAACCAGGAGGGAAATGAACGGAAGAAGAAGGGAGCGATCACACCGAAGAGGGCGCACCACACGCTCGGGGATGCGACGCCTCAGCTGACCCTCAGTACTCTGCAGCTGGGCGCTCCAGGGCTCAGCGAGTGGCCGGGAGGGGTGCGCCTGACCCCAGGCCCACTGTTGGCAGCACTGGCCCGAGAGCGGCACTCTGGGCTCCTCGGGCCCCGGGCATCTGCTCAGCTGCCTTGAACCCGAACGTCTGCTTTATCGTCTGTAAGAAGCGGGCGAGGTCTAAGCGCTCTCTCCGTTATTGCACTATAATCAGCTGTAATCAGCTGTGCACGCGCCTATCTCCCACGCCAGGCTGTGGCATTTACCCCCCTGGGTGCCTTCACTGAGCCCTGCTGCTCAGCATCCTGAACGGCAGACCGGCCCCACGAGTGCAGACACGAAGTCTGAGATAACACACTAAGAAGATCACCTCGGAAAAGAACATTCGGAAACATAACACTCTACATGCATCCACGCGTGTGGCCGGCCACCTCTGCTGACGCTGAGCGGCTCTAGAGTGTAAGGCGAGACCACAGGAAAATAGCAGCGAGGCGTCCAGAAACAGGAGAGTGGAAATGGCGAAGTCCTAAGAGAGTTTGTGAAGCACTGCCCCAAACCAAAAAGCCGCCATCTTGAAACCATCAGACTGATGACAAAATCTTTACTGAGTGCTTCTGGAAATACTACGCGTTCTCCGTATTTATCCCCTTGAAATGTAATTTTTAAAGAACCTCGGAGACCAATAATAACCCTTCTTCAGTTTACTGCTTAGCTTTTAAAGGCAGAAAATTAAGAAACCAAACCTAACAGTTCAATGTGGCACAGGCACATTTCAAGAACGAGTTTGCAGTGAAAAATTAAAAAAAAAACCCACATCTTTTCTTTATTTTTCCCAGAGTGGTAGTGCCGCAAATTAGAGAATTGTTGAGAAAACGGCAGAGAAGTGGTCCACGGTGGTCTGAACCAGACGGGGCATCAGGGAAACAACCACTCAAGCACACAAGTGGCATTTTGTGATCAAATTTATTTTTTGTTTAAATTTCATTTACTTTGTTTTACTGTAATTTACACAAGAGACTGCCAAGTAAACTAGATATTTTCCATTCACCACGCATTCCCTCAAATCTCCACAGTTGTTAGAAAAACATTAGAATCCATGCGCTGGGCTCTCATTTCCATGTGCGCCCCAGCTCCTGGTGATGCTACAGAGAGTTAAGTCCGTTAAAAGGAGAGGGCGAGACTCTTTATTTCACAAAATTAGCAATAATCTTCCTTGCACCAAACACTTTGCAGACAAAAATGATTATGCTTTGACAACACCTATCTTACAACAGTGCCCAGAGAGTAAACATCAGTCTTGATCCTGAGTACACGGAGGACATATGCAACGTGGGGTCCGTAGCCAAGGCTAACAGGGCATCGTGGGTGCGGCAGTGATCCTAAACACCCTGGTCCGAGTCACTGCCACCGCCTCGGTGGGGACACAGGGCGTGTGGGCAAACGAGAAGCGGGGCGGGCAGGACTGTCAGCAAATCAGATTACAAACTGATATGACCACAGGGGCCGGTGTGCTGTAGGAGGGACGAGAGGTTAAAGAAGACGGTTTGTAACCGGAAGGCTTCAACAATATCATTCTAGTCAAGCTTCCAGGACTGACAGGAGAAAACGGGTTTGGACAGAGAAAGCTGATAAAGATCTTACTTAGCTTCGTTTCCTTTTTTAAAGAAGGAAGAAGGAAGAAGGAAGAAGACAAGGTGGCCGCGGCTGCTAACCAGCATGTTCGTGACGCTTACTCGTGACGGGTTCCAGTGGCGCCCTACTAGACAGCACCTCTAGTGAGGGCTAGGCCCTCAGCAGGGCCTCAGCCTAGGAAGGTGTGCGGACAGGCCAGTGCTGCCCCCCCAATTCCTCCCTCCCTCCCTGCTGTCTCAAAGGCGCCTTCTCTCTTAGGGTGTATTTCAATATGAAAAGAGCAAACCGTCATCACTATCTGTGTTCTACCTTGTAAGCTGTGAGGAATCGAGATCATTTGCATAGTTTCCAAGCTCTAATTTCAGAAAACAGTCATTCCAGAAACAAGACTCTGCGGAAATGCTCTACTTCCAAGTTTTCCTGCAGCCTACAATGCTATTAATTTCTTCATCAATTTCTTTGCTTGCCTAACAGGAGCCTGAAAATTGTATAGTGTTTATTATAAATCACAAGCCGTCATCTCCATTTTTGCTAGGTTTGACGTAGAAAAATACTTGAAATTTAAAATACAAAAATCCAATAAAAACTGGAACTTTTTTTTTTTTTTAAACGATTTTTCCCTCAGGGCAAACAAGTTAAAAATTGGCAGGTAACTACACTCCTTACTAATAGACATTGTCCAATTTGAATTTAAGATAATAACCATCCAGAAATAAATCGGTATAAATACATTCAGAGTTTACATTCCAGATTCATTGGAATACCAAAAGATGTTGAATAAATTTTTCTGTGGAAGTCTGTTGCTTATGAGACTAAAATAAAATTTTATAAGAGACGGATTTAAAAGAACAGAAAAGTAATAAAAGGCTATGTTGTGTATATACACACACACACACACACACACACACACACACACACACACACACACACACATATTGGTCCACAATTCGACATTTATGAAACATACCAGCTAGTATTACATTGCAGTCAATTTGTCCATTAATGGTATTACTCTGATAATTATTAAAATCTGTTCCAGGTATATATATTGAAAATATTTTCTTTTGCATTCTTGCTGAAGATAGGTACAGTACTTTGGAGAAATTGTACTAATCCCTTCAGTATGTTTGTATGTACATATATACACGTGTGTGTGTTTTGATCTGTAGCTCTACATGCGTCTTATATACAGCTACAGACACACACACACACAAACATATATACACACGTGGTTGGGAATCTGTGCACGTGAGTACATAATCACAAGCACACGTCTGGGAAACGTCAACACTGCAAGATACCGGTCAGATTCTTCTTCACTCATCACTGGCTGCACTTGTTCCCCTCACTTGACCTTGATTACGTAACTGTAAGAAAAGCGAAAGACAGTGCCATGTGTTAAAATACAGAGAGACACAAAAAAATGTTATCATCTTGTCACACATTCTCCGGGGCGGGGGGTGGGGGGGATCCTCAACACGGCAAAACTTCTGGCAGAAAATGTACCCCATATACTACATTTTAAAACTTTAATCTCTTGAAGATTTTGGTCTTACTAATGGTATAACATCTTGTTTCATCAGAGGGAAAATAAATTGCAAGTGGAAATAAGTCACAGAACTTAGAACTTAACAAAAGTAACCATAACTTAAATTTTTTTTTTTTTTTTTTTAATGAACACTGAATTTAAACAAAGGGCTCTGGAGGAATCCTGGCAGAGTTCATTCATTCTTATTTGTACGACTACTTCTGTTCATGACTGAATACTTCATTTCTCCCGTGGTCAATAACTCGATAATTCGAGAGCAGGGAGCCCATGTGAGGGAGCAGCAAAGAGCCACAGTGAGTGAGGAGAGTGTTTTAATCTTGTTCTTTTCCTCAATGAACATTATAGTTCAATAGTAACAACTGATGATTTGTGTTTCCTCACACTAGTTTCAGTACGTGGGGGAGATTTTGAGGCTCTTTTCTCCCCCTTGAGGAAAATCTCTTCTCTGGGTGTATAGATTTGTGTTAGGGAAATAAGGCCGTAGAAATATTTTATATTACAGTGAAAACCAAAGTGTATTTATACATATTAAAGCTAACTAGAAAGGTTAACTAAAGATTCAACATGATGGAAGACATCCAGATGTTCAGAAAAAATTTCAGCTACAAGGAATCACCGAGGTTGGCCTTTATGGTATGGGACGAAGGAGCTCTGGTTTAAGATGTTTTTACATATTTCCTTACTAACCACATATGATCCTATTGAGAAATAGGTCAATTAAGTGGCCATCAATGAAAAATCAGCTGGCTTCTAGGATAACACTACGGTATGCCGGGCAGCTGGTGTGTGTCTGACCCTAACACTAAGAACTGGAGAGGACTACATTCAACCTGCTCCCACAGATAAAACTCTTACAGAAGAATAACTCAAGTGTTCCATGTCAATCTCGAACATATGTATCTCTTTCAATTCTAAAAATTAAACCACATTGAACACTTAGTCTCTGCTCAGCAAGTTAACTACCCATTACCAAAAAGGTATTGGTTTTTAAACATTCTTTTTACCCGGGTCTTCACTTACACAGTTTGATATTGTCTCTGACCCTACAGGGGACTCATCTAGACATCAGCAGCCGACGTGCCTCGGACGGTACCCTTCTTACGCATCTAAACGTAAAATAAAATCATGAGCTGCCAAAATCACAGACTCTAAATTGGGTTAGTAAGCAGGGGGAGGAAAAAAGATCTAGGAAAGATTGTGAATGACCACTGCCTATTTATAACCACATCCACATTGAGAATGAAGTTCTGAGGCCCCTCCAGTAACACTGATCTAAGGAAAATCCTGCAAAAGGCTTTTCTTGTAACAGCACACACACACAAAATGTGTATCTATTCTTGAATCTAGGAAACGGAAGCCTGCAGACTGATGATGTGGAATTATCAAAGACGGCCAAGGGTAAATGAACTGTTCACCAATACAATGTGAGAAAATGCCCCGACGGTCTGAGTCATATGTTCATAGTCCCTAGACCAGACAGGAAGCCATGAGGGGTGGCCACCTCTGCTGCTTCTGAGACCAGAGTCTCTGACAGGAGTTCTTTATGGGAAGTTTATTTATAAGAGGGAGGACAAGAGGAAGAACAAGTGAGCATGGGCACAATGTATGAGAAACAAAGAAGGACATAAGGACACATCAGAAAGGACAGGCATTCATTACAGTAGCCTACGGACAATTTTTAAAAAACTCAATGAGAGAATCAGAAAAGAGCGGACAGAAAAGGAACAGATGTAATAAACACACTTCTACAAGTAAGTCAACACTTCTCCCCGACCCCCAGAAGTGCCAGTTGTGAAATACAAGCACAAAGTTCACCCCCAGCACTTCTTCAGCAGCTAAGCCTAACCCCGCACTTCTCTTCAGGATTCCAGGCAGGGGCATTCCTGTCATGCCTAAGCTCTCAAGATGCAGTTCCTTTTCTCCCGGGCCAAAACCCATTTGAAAGAAATACAGGTCTTAAAATATTTGTGAATTAAGAAGAGAATTATAATGTATCAAACTCCATCGTCAGGTGTCAGGGAAACAAGACGTCAAGAAAAGGGGAAATCCCTCTGTGGTGATGAGGACTCGGCAACCTCAAGCCTTTCTGGGTAGGCGCTTTGGCCTGCAGGCATGATGCCGCCCAGAGCCTGAAGACGCTCACAAACCAACCGTAGGGCTCAAAGCAACAGCAACGTGATGCGGAATAAAGCATTCCCCGATGACCCACAGCAAAATAACTTAAATGGGATTTTACGTGATGATGATCAGCATATAATGCTGAAATTGCCTTAAAACGTTTTTGCAATATTTAACAAAGAAACTGCCACGTCCCCCCAAGCCCTGAACCAGCAAGAGACTTCTACCGACGTCATGTGGGAATCCGTCAGTCTGAGCCGTACAGGCACGACAATGGTACCTTCGGATAAATGGGGCTTCTGTGTAACTACGCATCTACCTTATGGACCCGCTTGGAGAAGCAAGAAGCTGAGCCTGCAAGGCCCATGGCAAGAGGTGGGAGCAGGCACCTCTACCTCCTGGTCAGGGCACTCACTGTGAGTACACTGGGACTGCTCTGATTCCTGCTGTCCTGACACTGAACTTGGCAAGGAAGGGAAGAGGTCCCTGCCAAGTTCTGTCTTGGGGTTCAGAGCTCAGACCACAGAGGGCTTCATCCCTCACCCTTCAACCATGACCTCTTCTCCTCATGTTCTGGACAGTCCTTGCAACATAAAAATGAAAACCAAAAGCGAACCTCCGTCTTAAGAGCTCAAATTAAGAAAAACAGGTTTTATCTGAGCGCTGGTAAATCCTTTTTGAAGATACCAAGGCTGTGCCATGAGCTTAGTGAGAATGAATGTAATCATGCGGCTTTCTTTTTTAACGTTCAGCTGAGTCTAGCTGCCCAGAGGGGCTGGAGACAGGGCTGGCAGGTGTCTCTGGAGCACATGGAGGGAGCAGAGCCAACCAAGGCAGGGGAGGAGGGACCAAAACTGGGTGTTGGTAGGAGTGCTTCTTAGAGAAGGGCATTGGACTCTTGAAAACGGGAAGACAGAAGTGGGAGAAGGGCATGGGGAAAAAAAGGGGGGCAAGTAAACCATGGTTTACTCTTGGCTGTTTAAATATTTTGGGGCGCCTGGGTGGTGCAGTCGGTTAAGTGTCCGACTTCAACCAGGTCACGATCTCGAGGTCCGTGAGTTCGAGCCCCGCGTCAGGCTCTGGGCTGATGGCTCAGAGCCTGGAGCCTGTTTCCGATTCTGTGTCTCCCTCTCTCTGCCCCTCCCCCGTTCATGCTCTGTCTCTCTCTGTCCCAAAAATAAATGTTGAAAAAAAAAAAAAATAAAAAAAAAAAATAAATATTTAGGGACCAGCCTAAAAATAAGGGGGTGAGGGAGAGTCCTCCACACTTGCCATTCTACCACCCTACTTCCAAGACCCAGAACTGAAAGTCATACTCTCAGTGTGAGAAACGGAGGCAAAAGAGGTTTCTATTGTCTGGCCTAGAAACTGAACTCCAATTTACAATGTTGTCTCCATGGCAAAACAGGTTCCAAATTCCAAAAAATCAACTTAAAAACTTTTGGAACAAAATCCATTCATAAACTGGAGACTGCTGAAAGTTTACTTTCTGTATAAGATAAGGTTAAAACATTTTATTGCCTTATAAAGAAAATATGTCCTAGTCCTCTCAGAAGGTTTGTATAAAGCTAATTAGAAGCAGATCTGCTGTAATCACCAAAAGTAAGCAATTTTAAACACAGATTCTTTATGATGCTGTGTGCCAAATAGATTTCCTTCTGTGCCAAAGAACCTGATTTGCTGCCACTCTCCTGTGATTAAGTGGAGGTCCTGCCTCACACACAAGCGTCTGTCAAACGCTCCCGCCTTCAGGGCTTCCAAAACTAGGACCGCTGGCGGGACTCTGGATGACTGCATAGAAACCACCAGCCCATCCCGGACATTCCTTGGGCTCACGTCCCCCAAGAGGACCTTACTTTCAACTGAAAAGCAGTGTGGCCCAGAGCAAAAGCAGAACCAGACACTTCTAAGAGGAAGGGGGAAGAACCCATCCCTGGCAGAAAGGGGGCGCTCACGCGCTGCAGGGTCTGCCCTGCCCGCTGGGGCTGGGCAGGAGCTGGGGCAGGCTTTAACTGCCAAACAGGGCTGGCTGACCTCCAGCCCAAGCATCACCCGAATTTCTGCCTAAAGCTTGCTAAAGAGCTAAGGATTAAGTGCTAGCTGTGGGAGGGAATCTCTGGAATGTGTGACAATATGGCTAGCCTTATCTAACTGACAGTGATAACAAAATGAGCCAAAGGCAACTTGGTCTGATAAAGTGAGTGTCTAAAAGGACTATGAACCAGGTCCCATCACAGAGAGCTGATGCATGACAAAGTATGAAACCACTGGGCATTTTACAGGTACAAACTCCAAGTCCATAAAGCTCTAGTCTACTTTCATGGAAGATGCTCAAATAAAGAGAAATCAGAACATGCAAAAGGATGTTAGTGTCTAAGAAACCCAATTCTGATGGAGGTATATATTTAAAAATGGCCTGTAATGACACTCTTCTTAATTCTAAGTCTACACTTACTAATAAGCACATACATAGTTAGAAAGGGGAAATGAGAGTTTCCACAGAGTGGGAAGTCTTACTGTTTCTAGTTCTTTCTGAGTTTCATCCTCCATTCTCCTAATGTCTTCCATTGTCAGATCAATCCACTTGTCAATCCAACAAAAAAGTTGGCGATGAAAGTTCGTAAATATCCTTTTTTCTTGCTTTTAAAACAAAGAAGAAAAGTAGTATAAGATGGCAAAAAATAGAAGATTAGTAACATATTAACTTTTACATCCCAATTAACCCATGCAATCTACATATACTTGGAAAAGACCACTGTGTCTTTTGTATCATTTTGTAAAACAAAAGAAAAAGAAAAATCTCCCTGTGAAATGTGAAATCTCTCCCTGCAAAGGCAGCACAACATGTCAGGAACTGAAAAAAATGTGATGTGCACGTTGTGATCCAACATAAACTCCCGCTAGACGTGGTCTATTTGTACCTTTTTCTAAATCTGGTGACCAAGGGTCAACTCGATTTCTTCCGCTATAAAACAATACATGGTCATTCTTAACTTCTCTGCGATTCAAAGAATATTGTGAGGTTGAATATAATGTGTACGGAAACAAAAGAATCTTGGGTTCTTTGGAATAAGACGTTTATTTAAATTAAGGATTATTACATACTCTCCATCAATTTTTCTACTCTAACGTTACTCTCACTCTCTATAAAAAAACCATACATTTAATGAGTGGTTTTAATTGCTACGTTATTTAAATGTTACTAAAATTTCCCAAGAAGAGAGAAAAGCTCACTCAAAAACAGTACTTTAATACTTTTGGACAATCTTCAACTTTAAAATTTCTTTCCATGAACAGAAGGGACTTCATCAATTACATGTGTGACGAACTAGATTGTTAATCTATTACTATGATCCAAGAGGAAGGAAGGAAGCCAGTATTTACAGAGTGCCTACCATGGGCCAGCTGCAAGCAGGCCCAACAGTAATCACAGTGTCCAGCACATTAGGACCCTTTTTTAAAAAAAAATGTCAGAGTGGTTACAGCTAAAAAGTAGAAAAATTATGGTAGGACAGATACAACCATTTGTGGATTCAAAGGTATAACAGGGTTTCTTTATAATGATAATAGAAGAAATAGTCACACTACAGGAAAAGTAAACACCAAAGAAACTTTCCATATTTCTTACGTGTTTACAACATGTGTGTTTCTTTATACAGCTGCAATTTTCTCCTCCTTCTAGATCAAAGTGTCCATGTTACTTTCACTTTAATAAAGACAACATACGAAAGAGGTAATTAGGATTCGGGTCCTCAGATTCTGTCATCCTAGGTTCAGAGTGTAACTATTCTCAGTAAGGACCTCTAAGAAGACTTCCCACGAGAAAGTGCCAAGTACGTAAGAAATGTGTGTCGAGAGAGAGAGAGAGGTTGTGGAGGATGTGAGCGGGGAGCCAACTGAGGTCGGACAGAGGAGCCCCTCAGCAGGCAAGGCCTGGCCTCTCCCTCCAGCCAGTGCCAAGACCCCAGGAACCCTTGGGGACATGCTGTACACGGAGAGGGCTCTCTGTGAAAACAGCTGGGCAAACCATCGGGAAAGCATGTTGAACAAAACACGGCTACGCTCCTCCCCAAAGAAAGCTCCTTAAAACCTGCTGGTATCTGTCTGCTGTTTCTAGGCAGAAAAGGGTAGAAAGGAATTATACAGAGACAATAACTGTTACCTAATAAGCGAGAAAAAGACATGGTAACAGAAAATATCCCACTAATAGCTACCTAAATTTAAGTCTCCTCATTTTGAACAGACGTTACCTTCTGAATGAAGTTTTCTACTTTGCTTTGCAGTCCCCACCACTTGAATTTGATGGTCACCAGCTTATAGGCACACATCTGAGGGCAGTCAGAGTTGTTTGCCAGCTCCTTCTAGATGACGAAAATTGAAAAGGAGAAATCGTGACTTCAATATTTGTTTTGATGAAAAGTGACCGTTGTGGAGTGACATCACAGACACAGGTGAAGAAAAGTACAATCTCACATGGGTTTAGTTTAGGTATTTGGAAATTCGAAATCATTTTAGCAAGAGCAGCAGTATTCCCCTGCTGCAAACCCTCCTTCCACAGATGAAGTTACTTCTTGGCTCTACAGTTTAATAGGTGCACTGTTCTGCCTCAAATTACACTGTTCAGATTTTCTATTAAATACCAAATTCTATCCACGTCGTATCAGTAGTGAGCTTTAATACATAAGGGTTCACCTAACGCCATTACTGCACCGTCCCCAAGGATGTGGTGAGGCACAATAAAGAACGATCAGGAAGTTTAGCCATCTTCTGTGTCTTTCTAACGCTGGCATGTGGAGTGGCACTGTTTATTAACTGAGGTATTCTCACTACAAGGGGGATCTGAAAAGGGACGCGGCAAGCAGGAAAAACGGTCTACAATTACCAAGTGTTTGACATCCCGGTTTGAATTTGTACAAACGGTCACACCTCATAGTTGAAATGGCACAGTCAGGGAATCAAATCAAGAGTTGTTAGGGTAAAAAGGTGGGGGGGGGG